AAGGTAAATCTCACAGTTTTGTGGGGTCCTCCTATGGCTGCGTCCCCCTGGAGTTTTTAACTCTCAGACTTGTTGACACTGAGCTTCCAGCAATCCCTCAATTACAATTCCGATTTCCCTACCTAGGTGCTGGTTCCGGTGGCAGTTTCTGTTTTTGAGTCTCTGCTCTATAAGTCGTGACTCCCCCAATTCACCTGTCTATCCCTCTAATCTTGGGGGCAGAAGTTGGCCCCTGTATCCTCCCCTCTGTTCAGGACCTAAGAAGAGTTGATGATTTTCCCATCTGTTCAGCTTTTTACTTGTTATGACAGAGTGGTGACTTCCAGGCTCCTAACATGCCAAACTAGGCACTGGAAGTCAGCAGTTTATTCTTGACACCCAACAAACTAGAAACTGTTCAGGTGTCAATTAATAGGAAAATGGATAAACAAAATGTGGCATATTTTATAATGGAATACTATTCAACAAGGAAAGGAAAGTGATAATGTAAGCAATAACATTGATGAATCTCAAAATAGTATGCTGAGTGAAAGAAGCTTTACCCAAAAGAATATGTACTGTATGACTCTATTTACATAAAGTTCTAGAATAAGAAAAACTAATCTAGGGTAGAAAATATCAAAATAATTTTGATGAGGGCAGGGGATTTACTGGGAAGATACATGAGGGAATCTTCCAGAGTAATGTTCTATATCTTGATAAAAGTTTGCGTTGCACAGATATACATATTTGTGGGTATCATCTTTTGGCATACTTGAGGCTTGAGAGTATTTCATTGCATATAAATATTATCTTAAAATATAAATAAGTATTAAACTCTAGTTACCAATATGCATACTCAAGTATTTGAAGGGAAGTGTGCTAATGATGTCTGTGACTTACTTTGAAATGAATCAATTAAAAAATGGATTGATGGATGGATAGAAGGCTAGATAGATGGATATGTGATAATGTAAGTATAAAACATAAGCATCTAGGTAGAGGGTACATATAAAGTCTTTCAAATTTTCTTAATGTTTGAAAATTTCTTTCAACAATGTTGGCGTAAAAAAAGGGAATTACAGAAATGTGATTAAGCAGACGGAGCTTTGGTTTTAAATTCAGAAGAACTGGGGTTTAAATGCCAACTCAGTTACTTTCCATCTGTGAATTCATGAGCAAGTTAATTTATCTTTCTCAACTGTGGTTTTCTATTCTATAAAATGAAGACACTAACACTTAGACAACAGGGTTGTAAAGATGTTTAACCGAGAGAGGATACTAGCCCTTAGATAGCTTCAAATTCCTCACCATTCCTTGAAGTTCCTCATCAATTATCGTTTGAGGGATCACCAGGCTTTTGGAAAAGATTTTTTGCAGTGAATTATAGTATTTGGACTTGGGTTCCTCTACTGGTCTCTTTCAACTCGAGGATTTCATATTGGAGCAAGTCAGAGATCCTAACCAAATTTTTAATATTTTTTATAAAAGGCCTCCACATTTATTTTTCTTTATATGTGTGCACAATTTATTCATCAGTACATTATTAAACTTAATGCTATGTACCTCTTTCAGTCACAATAATATAACACGCCACACACTACTTTGAAAATTCACAGCAAAATTGTAGCAGCCCCCAAAAGAACACAGGGAGTATTATTTCTTAATCTTATACTTACTTTATAAATTTTCTTCTCAAGATTATTTAAGCTATCATAAGCACTTTGAAGAAGAAATCACTGATAGAATAGAGGAAACTAAGCTCTAGAAAATAATCCACTTTTAAACCTCCAAAACAGAAAAGAACTTTGAGATTTATGGCCCAGCAAAAAAAAAAAAAAAAAAACTATGAAGTTCCAAATGAAGGAGTTTTTTTATGATTTTGTTCATTCACTACTAAAGCTTAAAAGACTCTGACACAGAAGTGATTGCATAAAACTCCTTGAATGAGCTTACATGAGAAATGCTCTCTTCATGCTTTGTCATCATCATTGCTGCCATCAATTATAGCTCATTACACTGGCTCCAAAGAGAAAGAGCCTGCCTTGAAGTGCCAACACAGCTGGGAAATACTGTGAAGATCTGGCATGCAGAACACAGATTAAATTTTTGCTGCTTTCTATCAGAAGAGGTTTTATAGCAAAACCTAGTATAATAGATATAGTTAACACAGTCATAAAGAATGTTTAAATTTGAGCTTGCTTATCTTTTGGAATGAAGACTTTGGGGAAATAACTGAGCACTTTTTTATAATATGCCTTTTAGGAATTTCTTAAGAATGAATAGTTTTTATTAGTAAATTAAATGTGTTGACTATAAAGTTTATTGTCTTAAAACAGGAAAATTCTGTTTGGGTATATCTTTTAAAATACTCCCTTTTGAGGAAATCTGATTTCTCTGCAAATAAAACTATTTCAAAATGCTGATATTTTGAATTTTACTACAGTTTTTCTCTCTCCTTTTTTCCTTTGCTGAAAAACAAACACCATTTATCCACTATGCTTTTGAATCTCTGTTCTCAGATATAATACAACAATAAATTTATATATGAACATATTCACATAAAAAATATACAAGAATAAGCTATATTTGTATGCATTTCTATTTAGTCTAAAGGTTGCCCTCTCAAGAGCGCCTCCCCCAAGGTTTATATCTGTAGAGCTAAGAGAAATTGCTGTAATATAGATCACCCTCAATGCATTTTTCCAATGCTAAATGACTCTTCAGACAAATAAAAGAAAGAAAAAAGGGAATACAAAACTTTCAATATGTGTTGTGCATATTAACGACATATCCAAAAGGAAATTTAACTATGAGTTATCATACCAACTTCTTCTAGAACAGTAGTTCTCACCTGGAGGTGCTTTTGCCCCCATGGGACATTTGGCAACGTCTAGAAACATTTTTTATTCTTGTGATGGGAGGAAGGGGATGCTTACTGTCATACAGTGGGTCAGGCCCAGGATGCTGCTAGACATCCTACAAGGCCCAGGACAGTCTCCCAAAACAAAGAATTATCTGTCCCAAAGTGTCAATAGTGTCACAGTTGAGAAACTCTATTCTAGAGAAAGAAAATAAATCAAATTTCAAAGCCCATGTAATCCATTATATAGAGACAATGAAACAATTGATGAAGGTGATAACATACATAACAATCCGCAGAATCAAATTGTACCAGTTCCAGTTTACATGCCCACCAACGGTGTGCAAAGGTTCCCTTTTCTCCTCATCCTTTCCAGCATCAGTTATCTGTTTTCTTTTTGATAATAAACATTCTAACAGGGATGAGGTGATACCTCATGGTGGTTTTGATTTGCATTTCCCTGATGATTTGTAATGTTGAGCATCTTTTCATGTCCCTATTGGCTATTTGTATGTCTTCTTTCAAAATAAGTCTGTTCAGTTCCTTTGCCCATTTTTTAATTGGGTTATTTGATTTTTTGCTATTGAGTTGTATGAGTTCCTTATATATTTTGGATACTATCCTCTTATCGGATATATGATTTGCAATTATTTTCACGTATTCCATAGGTTGCCTTTTCATTATGTTGATGGTTTCCTTTGCTGTGCAGAAGATTTTTAGTTTGATGTGGCCCCACTTGTTTATTTTTGCTTTTGTTGCTTGTGCTTTTGGTGCCAAATATAAAATATCATTGCAAAGACCAATGTCAAGGAGATTATCCCCTATGTTTTCTTCTAGGAGTTTTACAGTTTCAGCTCTTATGTTCAAGTCTTTAATCCATTTTGAATTGGTTTTTGTGTATGGTATAGGATAGGGTCCAATTTCGTTCTTTTACATGTGAATATCCAGTTTTCCCAGCACCACTTATTGAAGATACTATCCTTTCCCCATTGTGTATTCTTGGTGCATTTGTTGAAAATTAATTGACTGTATATGTGTGGATTTGTTTCTAGGCTCTCTATTCTGCTCCATTGATCTAAGTGTCTGTTTTTATGCCAATACTACACTATTTTGATTACTATAGCTTTGTAATATAGTTTTAAATTAGGTCCTATTGCATCTTACACCTTGGATAAACAAATCTACTACTGGGTTTCTGGAGGCAAATAAGTAAATGTTGAGAAAATCCAAACAAGATGCAAAGCAAACATAGTCAAGAGTCACGGGTGAGGATAGAACAGCAATGGGAGAAGAGGTGTAGAGTGCAAGGTGGAAAGAGGAGTCCCCTGAGCCCAAGAAAAATTGGCTTTAATGACTTTTTACATCGTTCTGCAGGAGGAGGAGACATCTTTTGAGAACTTTAGGATATAAACTGGGACTGGACACCAAGTAAACAAGTAGGGCAAATACCTAGCACTTTTCTAGAGCACATTTAGTAGGCAAGATTTCATAGGTAACACTAGATAAAGGCTTTGCTTAGAGATATCTTTGAGGAGGTGCATGTATAGAAACTGAGAACAAAGATCCCAAACAATGATATGGGGGTCTTGTGACTTGAGGTAGGAAAAAAAGAGGAATCTAACTTGGACAAGAACATAGATGATTAACTCCCCTGGCCACACTGGCTAACACTTTTAACCAGGTTCTAATCAAAAAGACTTCTAGGAGGGGCCGGCCCGGTGGCACAAGCGGTTAAGTGCGCGCGCTCCGCTGCAGCGGCCCGGGGTTCGCTGGTTTGGATCCCGGGCGCGCACCGACGCACTGCTTGGCAAGCCATGCTGTGGCGGCGTCCCATATAAAGTGGAGGAAGATGGGCACAGATGTTAGCCCAGGGCCATCTTCCTCAGCAAAAAAAAAGAGGAGGATTGGCAGATGTTAGCACAGGGCTGATCTCCTCACAAAAAAAAAAAAAAAAAAAGACTTCTAGGAAATTGGTAGAAAAACCCTTTTGTAATAGGAATCATTAGTAAGGTCAAGGAGTTTCAGACCACACACTCAACAATGTAAGAAATATATCAAAATTTTATGTAAATTAGTTTAATTACAACTCTGGACACTTGTTGTCCACATTGATAGGAAATCCATCCCAATTACACTTCCGGCTCCTTCATCACTCCAGTTATGCAAAGGTCCGGGTAGGACTTTGATCATTAGCAACCAATCTGTACTGACAATCATTCTCCCAGTCAGCTTGCTCCTCTGGCCGCTGTTGCATCCACACCACACTTGGGACGTGGGAACCTTCAAGGACGACGGGAACCGTGGTTGTAAGGGCCTCTCTACGATGCTGGTATGGAAAAATGAACCATTCCCAAACTCACAGACATCTGCCCCTTTCCAATCTCTGGGAAGTTTTCCTATCTCTCTGTGCTCAATATTCTTCTTCCTCTAGCATCTCCTCTTCAAAAGGCTTAGCCCTTTGGGGGTCCAATTTGGTTCTTTTGTGTGTGGATGTCCAGTTTTCCCTACACTATTTATTGAAGAGACTATCCTTCTTTGCTTTTGTCAAAGAGCAGAGCCCTTGAGTTCAGGCCCTTCTGTCTTCCATCTTCCCCAATTCCTGAGGCAAGACATCACCAGCCTAGCAGCCTACTCAAACTGAGGAGAAAAGAAAACTATAGGGAGAAAACATACTCAAATTAATATTTTAGTAGATTGTCCTTTTACACACAGTTTATTTATTTATAACTTCAGTATATGAGCTATAACTTCAGAATGTGAGCTCCACCAGGTGGTAAATGCAGATATAGTCACATCGATATTCAAATCTCTGTGTTCCAATTACCCACCTGCTAGACTATGGGAAGTTCAGTCTTTGTCATAGAACTCCAATCACGTGTGTGCCTGTGCTAAACAAATCAGAACTGATTTCACTGTCCCACAGTGGTGATAACTGAGCTCCACAGCAGAATATGGAATTCCACTGTCATCTTCTTTGCTGCCACACTACAGAAACTCTTGCCAAGTGAAGCTGGAAATGTACTACGTCCGAGTTGACAAAAGTAGTGCTACCTTTGGGATCACTGTGACTGTGGCTAATAATTAGGAAATCTATATTATTGTTTTTGAGAGATGAGAAAATGAATCTTCTGTGTTACATTCAGTAGAGGTAGGGAAGACATTCTGTTGTTTGAGATATAAAATATTCTGGTGGCTAGTGATACAACTTTTCCATTGGTCACCATAGCAAACCAAGCTGATATTTCAAAGCTCAGGACAGGACGATCCTGTGGAGAGGCACTGCCCCTGCATGACAGACTACTTCCTCTGGTTCCACTGCTACCAACAACACTACATCAGTGTTTCAGCAAAGATTTCCCAGGTAATGAGGTTAGAAGTAGTAAAAGTACCCAAAATCACGCAGTTGTACGTAGAACCTATACTTCCCTGATAACTGAAGCTCTATTGCTAGCTCATGAGACTCCATTTTCCCTTTTTCTCTGCTACTTTGCCCCCTTAACCATCAAACTGTCTGAATTCCATTGATGAACAGAGGTCAAGACTTTTTCTTCCTGAGCTTCATGACCTCTATATACTTTAGGAGATGCAAATGGGTATTTGGGATTGGGGCACCATCAGAAGCCACTGAGCCACAGTACATTAAGTCCTGACTTAAAGAACCTCTTCAAGTATTGTTAAATCAAAATGCCTTACAATTAAGGCTCTAATTGGTGCCAAAAGTAGAAAAATTCATATAGGAAGTAGCCGTTACAGGCGACTTCAATAAAGTTTATTTTTGTCCCAGTTTGCTGGTTGTTCACGTTTTGTCCACCTACCTTGCCTCAGATTCATTCTTAGCTCTTCTTTGTGCCCTGCTCCATACTCCAAGATGCTGGACCCTATAGACTGCATCTTGCCAACTGGTTCCCACTTGTCTTCAGCCCAGACATCAGTAAAATAGAGGGTGCGAGGAGAAAGAGTTTTGTGTATTACCCGTTCCCTATCTTACTGAAGACGTGTTTCTTGGCAGTGTTTCACATCCCTCCCCTGCTACAGTTTCTGTCCTACACTCCTTGTCTATAGACTCCAGCTCTCATTGGGCTGGTAATGGCATCTCTATATTGCTACCCTCTAACATCTTCAACTTCTTTGTTGATTTCCTTAATCTTGCCATAATTCCTTAAATTCTATATTCATTAAAGTCTCTTACATCATCTGAGTTTGATCTAGTTCTTTCTGGGACTCTGATTGTTACAATGGATGTTCTACATGTTACACACATTACATGTGTTTTTTATCACTCCATTCATGTTATAATTTAGTCTTCTCAAGCTGCAATAGTAGATGAAACTCTCCATAAACAGCACTTATCAGAAGAGGACCAATTAGAGCAATAACTCACTGCCACCCACCACCAAAGACATTATAATAGCTACAATTTAGCAGTTAAAGAATTAGCTTCCATATTACTAGAATTGATAGGGAACATGAATAACAAGACCTCCTTAAGACCTTCTACAATATAGAATGTTCACTAATGCCAATAAAATTAAACTGATCTTCGCACTAGATCATTTTGTATGAACAGTCATTTCCACTGCTGATGTGTCTGTCGTATCACTGTTATTTTCAATAACGAGCAGCACTGGAGATTTATTAGACAGTTTACAGCACCAACAGGTTATGCTGAGCTCAGCAATGTCGCCAAGCCAAAAGAAATATTATATGAGGGCAGCATTTGTTCTACACAAAAAAATCTAAGCATATTTCTCCCTTATTTAAATATGCTCATGGAAACCATTTTCCACAGATAAGTGAACAGTAAATGTGTTTGCAATGTGCTACTGCATTCCTACCCAGCACAGACAAGATGGGAACCATGTTTTCATAAATAAAAAGCGACAGACCATGTCATTGCCCTCCTCTTTAACTCCTCTTCCCGTTGAGTGTATGTGTGGTGGGGGAAGGTTCTGCTTTGCACTGGGCAGGGGAAGCGAATATTGATAGAATTTGCTGACAGTCAGTTTTGTGGATGAATGTTTCAGCACAGAACACAAAGGTCATGTTCACTCTAAATTCGGTAAGCTTAATTTGATTTGGCCAGTTAATTATAAATGTAAGTGCTTGCAAAAGTAAATCAAGTAAAAAAATAACCACACTACAAGAAATCCATGTAACTTTATTTTTCAACCACGTTCTCCCCAGTGTGGGGTTTGTTCCACCAGAAGAGTTACATGACCCCTTTGATATGGAATCCAAATTGAAAATAAGGTAATGTTGCTTACTTTTAAAAGAATCTGGATACATTATTAAATCATTTTGTAAACACCTTTGATAATTTGTAGACAGCATAAACTTAGGAGTAAAAGGAAAAATGTTGTTGAGATATGATTCCTTAAGTTACCTAAAATTTATCCTGTGTATCCTACATAAGTCAAATTCATAGTAAATTCCGCGAGACTGCTTGAATAAGTGATTATGTTACCTCCACTTCTGTAAGGATTTTTTTTTTTCACTTATTTGCTAATTATATGCAAGGTTTTAGGCAAAACATTTGCCTCAGTACCTAGACCTGGAATCCTCAAATATATTTTAAAGATATCAGCCATTTCAAGTAGAAAATATAGTTAGGGCCCTCCTTATCTTTCTATTACCATGCATTGAATTTATAGAAAATAAATAACTCTTGATTAAAGAGATTTAGTTACAGTAAATCCTTGAAGATCGTAAAAGTAAAAGCTGAAATAAAATATAACTTCAGAGTTAAATAAAAACCATTTATAATCTAGATGCATAATTTAAGAATTTATTTTTACAGATGGAAAGGCCAATTTAAGTCATTATTTATTATCTATTATATAATCAGATTACATATCATAGCGCTAGACACTCTAACCATATATCTGATGGTTATCATATGGTATATGACTATGATATGATAGTATATTGCTGTGAGATGATGTCTTAGTTTCGGTTTTTAAGCCATGAGTATACATCCTCGATTGAGTACCGATGCCCCCTCTCCCTCAACACACTTCCCAGGGTGTGAAAGCCCCTCCAGCACTGCTCATCTCCCCTAAAGTCTGTCCTCACCTTCTCTGGTGAAAATAAGCCCTCTTCATGCCACCTTCTGCTTCTCCAAACTCCCAGCTCAAAGATCTTATAGCAATATTTTGATCAAGCAGGGTGAGACTGTAACAATACAGAACATTTCTACCCTGAGCACTAACTTCCAAAGTGGAAAGAGAAACATTTTTCTTCCACCTTTTTGTTCCTTTTTTAAAAAACTTCCTGTAGCTGACAACTGCTAGCTAGGTATTATGGAAATTTATATGTAATACTCTTCTAACAATAGCTTGGATTTATAAATTGAATTCATTTTTTAAAATTTTGTTTTCTCATGAACATCAAAAAAATGAATAAGGCCCCTGTTATACAACAGCTTACACATTTATTATTTAACTTAAATTAATTCTCATAACAGATCATGTTGTAGATGAAATTGAGTCTTAACGTAGATTTGAAAACTTAACCGCTATTTCAGAGCTCAAACATGGCGGCGCATGGATTCAAATCCAAAGTCTCAGTGGAACGCCGGGGATTGTTTCCACCACTCATTGAATCAGGGTTTAGGCTTTTATCCTATTAGGCTGGGGGCTAGAGGCTGAAGGCCAGGACCCAGAGAGTCCTGGCAAGGCTGGAAGGTGGCTTTCTTCATGGCGTCTCCTGAAGGATTATGTGCTGGCAGGCGCCATGAAAGATTGACAACGTAAAATATATTCAGAGCAATATAGCCTAGCGGTTCTTAGGAAAGAATACGGTCAACAGCTCTAAATATGCATGTGAGTTTAGAGAAATAAGACGGAAGGCTTTAGGCTTTTGTTTTGTTTGAACTGAGGTAGAGGTAGCCAACACATACTGAACACCTCGCAGCAGTAGGAAGTGACTAGTCTCACTTAGGGACCCTCAGGCTTAAAATTGCCCCAGAGTAAGTTTCAAATCCTAAGGGAAGGGAACGAGAGACCATTTGGTGCCTAAGATATAAACAGTGGTCAAAGTTCATAAAGTTGGAAGGCTAATATTTCCAAATAATGTAAATTTTATTAGAAGATAAAGTTAATGTATTATTCATATATTAATACCCATGTTAGATTTTTCTAACATCTGAATATTAACTAAAACTAGAAAAGTTACCATTTGGTATGCATTAGATTTTACTAGAATTTAGTTAAAACTTCCAGTATGATTTTCAGAATAAAAGAGTATTCTCATACAATGTATAAATTATAATATATTCAAAGGGACATAAAATTGCATTATGAAATCTACAGGTTATTTTCATTTTTT